CCCTTTGCCTCTACAATCTCAGATTAAAAACTCAGTCCGTCCAATGAGGACTTGAATTTGGGGAGTTCCTCGGTCCTAGAGCAAATAGAGTGGACCTCCCATCATTAGTGCCTTTCTATTACCATCACATCCCTAAGACCACCTCATCTGTTGGACATCTGATTCTGCTGAGAATTGTGGAGCGTCTTACAGCTGCTTGTCGTTGCTGAGGGATTGTCTGTTTAGCTGACTGCCGCTGGTGGAAGCGGAGCGGAAGCATGAGTCATTCGCCCGGCATCTGCTGGCGAACGGTGGGAGGGGAGGAAGACTTCCCTTGTTGTTCCCTTCGTGTTGCAAACGTTCCAGGTAGCACGGAGCCTTCTCGCTGGCTCGGAAAGGGCGTGGGAGGCTTTCCCTATACTGTCGGCCATCGCGTCGGCCATTTTGGAGATTTGCGTGCTTTTCCCCAACAATGGGCAGGATCTGCGCGCACAGCGGTGACCATTTTGGATGAGCTGTTTTGCAGCCGCATATAGCCAGTGTGAGCGAGAGACATCTACAGGGTTGCAGCGAACCAGGGAAGCGGCCTCTATTGTCGCTTGCTTGGAGCCGCTGCGATTGACGGGCCGCCTCTCCATACCCCAGCAGCATTGCGGATTGCCGTCTGGGAGGCCGGAGACTTGTCTGGGGCGCCAGCAAGTCACATCTTCCCGTGCTAAACCAGACAGAGGGATGTGGATGGCCTGAGGAGGGACCTAGTCCTGCGGGCGCCCCTCTCCACGATCTGCAGGCGCCAGCAGACGGCTGGCTTGCGCCCAATTCGGCCTAGTGAATTAGCTCCTCGTCGCTTTCTTTTTGGCTGAACCACCATGCCAGACGGAGGTTTGGAGCTTCAAGCGGCCCAGTCAGGGCCCTCAGCCAAATGGGCCAGGCTGGATCACCCGCCCAAGGGGGGAAAAGGGAACAAGGGCTCTTCCCGTAGGCACCCCACGGGGCCTTCTGAGGGCAATGATCATAAGGACAGTGCCAAGCACCGCAAAGGGGGGGTTCCCCTATTCCATGGGAGCATCACCCATCCCCGGAATGCATGGAGGCACCTGATCCCACCCCAGGGCAGAGGCTGGAGCAAGGACCTGGCTCCCCCAGGGCGAGCAGGTCACCGTAATCAGCAGGGAAAATATCCAGGGATTCCTCCCCTGCAGCTTCATGGGGATACCCAGATTCTCCCAGTTCCTCCCTGAGGGAGGAACTGGCACCCTCACAAGTTTCTCTCTGTCTGAGGAGGGCTCAACCTCCGGGGCCTACAGGAGCTACAGGGATTCTAGTAAGGTTCACCACAGGGAGAGCAAAAAGTCAGCCCTGTCCGCAGAGATGAAGGAGGTCATATCTCTGGCCATCTCTCAGGGCATTGCTGAGGGCATGAAGTATTTTACTGGTAAAGAGGTCCCTTCCAAACCTAAGCATGGGTCCAAACTGACCCCTGAGCAGGCCCCAGCCTCCCCCAGCACCTCGGTGGCTACGGAGGAGTCTGCCCTGGAAGAGGGGGAGGTGGAGGACTTTCAGTTGTCGGAAGACGAGGACCTCCCTCTGGACCAACCAGCCTTCACCGGCCTTTTTAAACCTTCTCTCTCTAAGTCCATCCTACATAAGGCGAAGGCGGCCACAGAGCCACTCCCAAGGGGTCCACCTCTGGGGCCCCAGGCACCAGAGACCACAAAGAAGGCCTATTTAAGGAACCAGCCTCAACACAGGAATTCATTCCAGTGCTGGAGCTCTTCATGGACGTGGTCCAGAGGCAGTGGATTCAGCCTGGGACCTTGACCAACCTGGGCGGGGGTGACAAGTCTTTGTACACTGTTGAGCCAAAAATGGAGGAAGACCTGAAGCTACCTTAGACGCTACGGTGGTCTTTCTGACCTCTACCTCCAACCTGCCGGCGGACCTTCTAGAAGGTCTCAAGGCGGAGGATAAGAAGTCAGAGAAGGCATGCCTTAAAACTCATCAGGCGGCCGCCTGGGCTATTAGAGCCTCCACCTCCGCCTCCTTTTTCGTAAGATCTTCTCTCCTCTGGCTAAGGCAATTGAGATCCAGACCCCACTCGGGGGGATCTCGATGGAGGCACAACTTAACAAAAATCATCACAGCAGTGGAATATTCTGCTGATGCGTCCTTAAATACAGCAAAATTTGCATCCTGGGTGCTGGCTTCTAACGTTACCTCTCACCGTTTGCTCTGGCTTCGCCACTGGCAGGCAGAGATGAAGACAAAGTAGAAGCTGGCATCCACTCCATTCAAAGGGAGTCTCCTCTTCGGAGAAGCCTTAGACAAATTCACCATTGAGACCAAGGACAAGAGGAAAATCCTTCCTGCCGCCCTGAAGAAAGCAGACCGCAAGGGATCTGGCTCCTTTCGGAGGCAGGCCTTTCGGACACAGGACAATGCCCAGCCTACACCTCTTCTTCCTACTATAGATCCTACTCCCAGCAGGGCAATAGGGGCCAGGACAGGGGCTCCTTCGGAGCACGGGGTAGGCAGCAACACCAGCAAAGCTCCTTTCGCAAGCTCTTTCATGGTGGATCCAATTCCCGAAACTTCCACAGGGGGAAGTGACCACACAGGGATCCCTCCATAGGGGGTCGGCTGCAGTTTTATGCCGACAGGTGGGGGGAGATAACCACAGACCAGTGGGTACTGAATATGGTCAGGAGGGGTCTCCTTCTGGAATTTCTGTCCTTCCCCCCAAGAACATTCATCCACTGCCCATCTCCCAGGAGTCCCCTGAAAAGGGAACTCATGCAAGTGGAGATCCGCCACCTAGTTCAGACAAGAGCCATAGAACCGGTCCACAAGGAGCAGGAGAAACGGGTTTTACTCCATACTGTTTCTAGTGCCCAAAGCATCAGGGGAATGGAGGGCAATCTAATCTCAATCTAAACCTCCATCTGGCATATCGGAGGTTCAAAGTGCAATCCCTCAACTCCATCTTGGATTGCGTAAGACGAGGCGATCTCCTCACCTCGATAGACTTAAAAGAGATCTATCTTCACGTCCCCATCCACTC